GTTTTGTGTATATGGTAACAAATTCAAAACGGAGATGGACTATTTTGAATGAAATTATATGAAACTATATGTTTGACAAAATGTAATAGTACAATATTTTGTGTAAATAACTTGTTATACTATTATTGTTATACTGTTATATTGTTAGTGTTACACTGTTACATTTTTATTGTTATACTGTTACACTTTTATTGTTACACTATTCGGATATTAAATTAATTTAAAAATAAAATCACTTTCTAAACAAAAAAATGCATGAATCAAGGTGCATTAAAAGATAATTCAAAATTTAGATAAGAGATTTAACAATAAGTATATACATACATACATAAGTATATATATATATATATATATATATACTTATGTATGTATGTATATACTTATTGTTAAATCTCTTATCTAAATTTTGAATTATCTTTTAATGCACCTTGATTCATGCATTTTTTTGTTTAGAAAGTGATTTTATTTTTAAATTAATTTAATATCCGAATAGTGTAACAATAAAAGTGTAACAGTATAACAATAAAAATGTAACAGTGTAACACTAACAATATAACAGTATAACAATAATAGTATAACAAGTTATTTACACAAAATATTGTACTATTACATTTTGTCAAACATATAGTTTCATATAATTTCATTCAAAATAGTCCATCTCCGTTTTGAATTTGTTACCATATACACAAAACTACTAAACATTGTTTTTCTTACAGTGTATTTGTTACACTATCTTTGTTAGAGTGTTTTTGTTACACTGTTATTGTTATACTACTATATTATTTAGATATTAAATTAATTTTAAAATAAAACTATTTTCCAAAAAACAAAAACGCTTGAATCAAGGTGAATTAAATATAATTTGAAAAAAAAATCACTTTTCAAAAAAAAAAAACGCATGAATCAGGGTACATTATTGATAATTCAAAATTTAAATAAGAGATTTAACAACAAATATATATGTGTGTGTGTGTACGAATATATATACTTATTTATACACACACACACACACCTCTATATATATATATATATAAATGTGTGTTTATTAATACATATAAATACATATTTAATGCACCTTAATTCATGTATATTTGTTAATACACACACACACACACACACACACACACACACANTTTAGATAAGAGATTTAACAATAAGTATATACATACATACATAAGTATTTATATATATATATTAAAGTTCTCCCATAAAACTAGGAGATGTTTAATGCACCACTTTCCAAAGAAAAGTGATGCATTAAATACATATGGATTAATGTAGGGCAAAAATGCCACAATAAAAATAGATAAATTTAAATTATGTACTTGGATACAAATAAGTATCAAAATTAAGTACTTAATAACCCTACATTTTTTAGTGTGTACTTTTTGCCAAATAAGTCTAATTTGATGTACCCCTTTTTAAAATTTACCCAAACCTATTATAAAAACTTTTGACCCAACATTAAAAAAATAAAATTTTTGGCCCAACGTTAAAAACAAAATTTTTGGCCCACAATTAAAAAATAAAATTTTTGGGCCAACATTAAAAACAAATTTTTTGGATCATTAGTGGGCTATGTTTNCCTTTACAATTTACCCCTTTTTAAAATCTACCCAAACCTATTATAAAAACTTTTGACCCAACATTAAAAAAATAAAATTTTTGGCCCAACATTAAAAACAAAATTTTTGGCCCACAATTAAAAAATAAAATTTTTGGGCCAACATTAAAAACAAATTTTTTGGATCATTAGTGGGCTATGTTTATGAGTTTACATTTGTATTTTGTTACTCGTATGAATGTTTAACTTAACCCAAAATAAACAAAAATTCTGATTCTGCCCTCGCTTCTGCATTTATGTGATTATCATTCTTCTTTTAGAAAAAGTCTTGCAGGCCCTANAATCGTATGAATGTTTAACTTAACCCAAAATAAACAAAAATTCTGATTCTGCCCTTGCTTCTGCATTTATGTGATTATCATTCTTCTTTTAGAAAAAGTCTTGCAGGCCCTAAAACACTGCACATCACATATTTCAACAAACACTTTTATTGTTATCTCACTTGTATGAGTGTAGGAGGACTCTTATTTGCTCATGTAATGTTTTGGATGAATCATATTTTGACAAACCCTACTTATTTATCTTTCGGAAGAATAAAATTGGGTATTTCACAGTAATGCTTTGTTTAGTATGAATGATGAAAAGTAGAAGGAATGAAAAATAAGAATGATGCACTTTCAATCTTTGAAGGAAGAAAAGTAAGAATGATATATGATGATGCATAAAATAGGTTTATGCACAATCAACTGTCGAGTATGTGATTTAGGGTAATTAATGAGGCAATCAATAAACAATTAATAATGAAAGACAAGTATTAGGTTAACACACAAAATGTATAATGGTTCGGTTAGGGAGACCTACTCCACTCCGGGAACGACAATAGTGGCTGGAGAACCTTTATTAATAAAATAAGGTGAGAGAGAAGTCAAAGGTGAGCTCCGGGAGATGTGTGGTAGCTAGGACAAAGAAATAACTATGTGAGGGGTGTGTCGAGAGATGCCCTCTCATGTAGAAAGAGCATACAATTTATATGCACAAAGCCTTAGTTGAGGCGATGATGTGATAGTAAATGTACTAGTCTTTCAGGGAAGATAATTACAAAAAGTAAGTACAATTAAAGATTGTCTAGATCTTCGAGAGTGTGCATCCCGACAATTGCTCCCCATGTGCTCTAATCTTCTTGAACTCCTTGGGCCTTAGACTAGGTTGAATCCACGGGCGGCGCTTGAAGGATCCTTTTAGCTGATCTAGGTTCATTTAATTTATTGGGTCTGACCCAATTGAATCTGGGTTCGTCATTTGTCCCCCATGCCCCAAGTCCCGGTTGCTTACAAGAGAAGGGGTTAAGAGTATGAGTGAGCTCTCGAACAGGTAGAAGGTACCTTGCTTCCCACAACTCATCCTTTTTCCATTATGCAATTATAGAGCTCTTTCTCTNAAAAACACAAATTGTGCAGATTGTAAGCTCCGAGTATATATATATATATATATATATATATATATATATATATATATATATATTTTTNTTTTGCCAAATAAGTCTAATTTGGTGTACCCCTTTACAATTTACCCCTTTTTAAAATCTACCCAAACCTATTATAAAAACTTTTGACCCAACATTAAAAAAATAAAATTTTTGGCCCAACATTAAAAACAAAATTTTTGGGCCACAATTAAAAAATAAAATTTTTGGGCCAACATTAAAAACAAATTTTTTGGATCATTAGTGGGCTATGTTTATGAGTTTACATTTGTATTTTGTTAATCGTATGAATGTTTAACTTAACCCAAAATAAACAAAAATTCTGATTCTGCCCTTGCTTCTGCATTTATGTGATTATCATTCTTCTTTTAGAAAAAGTCTTGCAGGCCCTAAAACACTGCACATCACATATTTCAACAAACACTTTTATTGTTATCTCACTTGTATGAGTGTAGGAGGACTCTTATTTGCTCATGTAATGTTTTGGATGAATCATATTTTGACAAACCCTACTTATTTATCTTTCGGAAGAATAAAATTGGGTATTTCACAGTAATGCTTTGTTTAGTATGAATGATGAAAAATAGAAGGAATGAAAAATAAGAATGATGCACTTTCAATCTTTGAAGGAAGAAAAGTAAGAATGATATATGATGATGCATAAAATAGGTTTATGCACAATCAACTGTCGAGTATGTGATTTAGGGTAATTAATGAGGCAATCAATAAACAATTAATAATGAAAGACAAGTATTAGGTTAACACACAAAATGTATAATGGTTCGGTTAGGGAGACCTACTCCACTCCGGGAACGACAATAGTGGCTGGAGAACCTTTATTAATAAAATAAGGTGAGAGAGAAGTCAAAGGTGAGCTCCGGGAGATGTATGGTAGCTAGGACAAAGAAATAACTATGTGAGGGGTGTGTCGAGAGATGCCCTCTCATGTAGAAAGAGCATACAATTTATATGCACAAAGCCTTAGTTGAGGCGATGACGTGATAGTAAATGTACTAGTCTTTTAGGGAAGAAAATTACAAAAAGTAAGTACAATTAAAGATTGTCTAGATCTTCGAGAGTGTGCATCCCGATAATTGCTCCCCACGTGCTCTAATCTTCTTGAACTCCTTGGGCCTTAGATTGGGTTGAATCCACGGGCGGCGCTTGAAGGATCCTTTTAGCTGATCTAGGTTCATTTAATTTATTGGGTCTGACCCAATTGAATCTGGGTTCGTCATTTGTCCCCCATGCCCCAAGCCCTGGTTGCTTACAAGAGAAGGGTTTAAGAGTATGAGTGAGCTCTCGAATAGGTAGAAGGTACCTTGCTTCCCACAGCTCATCCTTTTTCCATTATGCAATTGTAGAGCTCCTTCTCTCAGTTTGATAATCACCGGGTTTGAAAAACTAATGTTCCGACAACTATATTTCAATAGCTTTGTAAACTTGATAGCAAGATCTCCTCTTTTACCTAGGCACTTGCCCTCTGGCTTTAAAGGGCATTTCTTGTCAAACCCATCATATTCCCCTTTAGACTAGGGCTTGGAATCATTATTTTTCCCTTTCACATTCTACAAATCATTGGGCATTTATTGCATTTACCAATACCTCCCTTTTGCTAGGTTTTCCTTCTTGCTTGAAGAAAATCCCTATTTTTCCCAATAAAAATCTCATTAAAGGGCTTATAAGAACCCTTGCCCTCTTTACCCCACACCTTTGAGATTATGGTTCAAAATCTCTCCACCCNCTGTCATATTCCCCTTTAGACTAGGGCTTGGAATCATTATTTTTCCCTTTCACATTCTACAAATCATTGGGCATCTATTGCATTTACCAATACCTCCCTTTTGCTAGGTTTTCCTTCTTGCTTGAAGAAAATCCCTATTTTTCGCAATAAAAATCTCATTAAAGGGCTTATAAGTACCCTTGCCCTCTTTACCCCACACCTTTGAGATTATGGTTCAAAATCTCTCCACCCATAAGAAGTCAAGGAAAATGGTGGAACTAAAATTGAAGAGGAGTTTGGAGAAGATGACAAGGGGTCCCATAAGAGAGAGCCCATCTGGAGATTTGGTTAAAGAAGGCAAAATTTGGACCATGCGAAGCCATGGGCAACGCCTTGGTGAAGCCCCAGACGGCGCCAAGCGTGGCCATCGGAAACGCCAGGCGAGGACCTTGGAGCCGTCAGATCGCAAGCAGGCAGAACCTCTGGCAATGCCAGTGGCTGTCCAAGCGCTTCAGGNACAAGAGAGAGCCCATCTGGAGATTTGGTTGAAGAAGGCAAAATTCGGACCATGCGAAGCCATGGGCAACGCCTTGGTGAAGCCCCAGACGGCGCCAAGCGTGGCCATCGAAAACGCCAGGCGAGGACCTTGGAGCCGTCAGATCGCAAGCAGACAGAACCTCTGGCAATGCCAGTGGCTGTCCAAGCGCTTCAGGAAACAACGTTGGAGTTGCTAATGCGATAGGCGATGCTGTCGAAGACTTGGATGCTCTAGGCGACGGTGCCTCAGTCGTAGGAAGTACAGGTGATGCCTCGGGGTGAGGAATTGATGGAGATGGCGCCCGAGGTAGGACTGGGGAGGATGGCGACGCTTGGAGAGAAGTCATGGGTCTTTGCGGAGAGTTGATATGCGAAACCCACGGGACACTTGGTGACGCCCATGGGGCACTTGGCGACACCCATGGGGCGTTTGGCGATGCCTCGAAGGCGGGAGGTATGAGAGGCTATTCATACGGGGACCTAGGCGGCACCGACAACAATTTGGGTTACGTGTTAGGTGGTAGTGCCCAGGGTGCAGGTATGGATCTGATGGCAACGCCATTGCTAATGGGTCCTTTATGAGGGGAGGTGGCGCCAGTGGCCAGTGGGCTGATTGGGCGATGCCCCTTGGCAGCTAGATGACACCCTTAGGCAGCTAGGTGACTGGTCTATGCGGATTGGAGGCGACGCCTAAGGCGCTGGCACGACAAAACTTCGAACGACTATAGCTTTGCACTCGGTTATCCGTTTGATGCGAATTTTTTTTTTAATCTGGGTATGTTTTTGAGATCTACGACATCCAATCAACCAAAGGCAGTTTGGGCATCGAATTTCTCCAAAAAATGATTCCTTCTTATAGAATTTGAACTTTAATCACAAAAAAGTAGATTTTGCACGTGGCTTTTTGTATTTTCGACTATGCAGGGACTCAGCTTGTCTTGCTTTGATGCTGGTATTCCTTTGACATTGACTTTGTTTCTGTCTTGGTTCTGTTTTTTGGCAGGTACTCAATTTGACAAGGACATGACGAAGGTTGCTACACAAGGCTCTCAGCGAGGCAGAGGGATCTCTACGGGTGATAGTTCCAAGGTAACTTCTATTTTTAGCTCAATTGATTGCGATGATGACATTGCCCGCATCGTATCTTTGTTTTGTATCCCTCCCACCGTTATGTGTCGTCGGGCCGAGGAGGATGAGCCGGCGTGATATGACTCTTTAGGAGAGATTGTTATTTACGAGGACGTCCTGGAAATGGGTTTACGGTTCCTGATACCTAGGCCCATATGTCGGATTTTGGGACACCTATCACTGGCTCTAGGGAGGTTGACTCCCAACAAGTGGAGGGCAATCCTAGAATGCATCTCATTATGGCAGCTAGTTCATAAGGCAGACACTCCTCCACCTTTCGAGGAGTTCTTGACTTCGTACGTGCTTTTGGAGAACCCTACTCCTCATCAAGGTTGGTATCGTTTTTCCCCGAGGTTGGGCAAGCTTATTACTGGACTACCCTCGAATTTTCATAGTTGAAAATTTAGGTTCTTCTTTGTCGGAGGCGAGTGGGCCACTGAGGGAGACCGTTACTTGGTGCCTTTGAGGTGGGACACTGTTCTGAGGACCAAGCTAGGTAAGAATTTCACTTTTTGCTTTTATATCTAGTCATCGCATATATGTTCTTACTGTGAGATTGGTTCCCTTGTAGCTTCACCCACATTATCTACAGAGCAGGAAAGTAGACTCCAGGTAGTGCGTGACCATCCTTTGAAGGAGTTTTCAGAGATTATGTCCGCATCGGGTCGTCCCAAAGTCTCCCATGGGCCAAAGAGNTTCACCCACATTATCTACAGAGCAGGAAAGTAGACTCCAGGTAGTACGTGACCATCCTTTCAAGGATTTTTCAGAGATTATGTCCGCATCGGGTCGTCCCAAAGTCTCCCATGGGCCAAAGAGGAAAGGTATCTGATCCTTCCAATAGAATCTTCATGCTTTTTGTCTCACGCCAACTCCACAGGTACCTCTATTGATAGAACGATGATGAAGGCTCTTTATGTCTCCAGGGTGGCATCTTCCCCTACTTCCTCTAAGAGGGCGAAGCCCGATGCCCCTAATGTTTCTTAGCCAAGGTCTCCTAGCCAAGTTAGTCCCTAGGAGGAGGGACCCAAAGATGCCCCCACTCCTTCCCAGATTGCTTTTCCTTCAGGTCATCTCAATTTGTAGACTTACTTTTATAGTGCCCAAATTTTTCATAATTATCATATTGAATTTTAGATTTATCACATTGTTGACCCCAATTATTATCTTTGTCTTTTCCTCAATCAGATTTTTTTTCCTTGTTCCTTAGATANTCATAATTATCATATTGAATTTTAGATTTATCACATTGTTGACCCCAATTATTATCTTTGTCTTTTCCTCAATCAGATTTTTTTTCCTTGTTCCTTAGATATTTGGATGCTGGTACTTCTAATTTGATTGGAGTCTACAAGGATTTTTGTTCTGAAACCTCTATCTTTTCATTCAATCTTTTTTCATGAGCTTGTAAGGAACCCATCAAATAATCAACCGTTAAGGAATCAAGATCATTTACTCCATAATAGACGTGACATTATACTCAAACCTCTTTGACAAAGTTCAAAAAATTTTCTCATAACTGGGAGATCTTTTACCTCCTTGCCGTTGGCTCTCAGCTAATTAACAATAATCAACATCCAAGAGAAATATTATGATATACTCTCTGATCTTTATATCTGAAAAAGCTCAAAATGCCGCCTTAGGTGGTCTACAAATGAACCTTTTTCATTTTGTCATGTCCCACATAACAAATGATTAATTAGGACATCTTATGTCGCCTTTGCCGAAACATGAGCAATATTATCATATATTTATGGATCAATAATCCAACAGATATACATCAACATTAACTGTCTTTCTTTCGATTTTGTCTCAATTTATCTTTTTGGGCTTGTTTGAGATTTGCTTGACCTCCGAAATCTGTAATCTCATTTGTCATAATATCTGAAAACTCCATGGCTTTGAAGAACAACTCCGCGTGCATTCTTCAATGTTGAAAATTTGACCTCCCATCAAAATTTTTAACAAGGCATTGAATGAACTTGTTCCTGTTTGCCTTTTTAAAAATTGGCTTTGATACTAAATGTATGATCTCAAAAAATATCAAACAATCAAATATCACAAACACCCAATTGATCAAAGATCCAAGAAAATAAAACAGGAAATAACTAAAAATTGGAGAGTTGGAGAGTTTGAGTCAAACTCCAAACATAATTCAATGTCTCAATCACAAAATATGAAAAAAAGTTCTTNAGTTGGAGAGTTTGAGTCAAACTCCAAACATAATTCAATGTCTCAATCACAAAATATGAAAAAAAGTTCTTCCAATACTCAAAATAAAGAGAGAAAGGAATAGGTTGATGATTGTTTTCAATTTGCATGGTTTACAAGCCAATTTTTTTAACAAAAAAGAATAATATGGATGGAACATAAACATGATATGGCATGTGATATAGTCACAATAAAAAAATTCAACAATTATAATAATATAATAATATTATTGAATTATACTAACTGTCATAATTTTGCTCTTTTAAATAGAAGCCACAATGATTGCCGTTCGTTTTTTTATTTTTATTTTTGATCAAATATGACTGCTCGATTGCCATTGGTTTGTGCGATGGGACATGATTTATGATGGTAGTCTAAACCATTGATCCAATGACTTTAGGTTCAGCCGGCCGTGCATAAAATGAATTTTGACTATGCTTCACATCACGAAACCTTCAACAAAACGACAGTGTTTGAAGGTTTGGTGAGGAGAAACTCTTGGAAGACTGACAGACAAAGGTGCCAATTTGATTCTCTAATAATCTAGATCACTTTTGATGGGCCCAAAGTCTTTTATGTTCTCCTAAGTGATTGCAAGCTTTCCCTTTATTTACGTCAACTATCGTGTTAAAGTCCACATATGGGTTCTATCATGTCATGAGTATTATAGGATGTTAATGTCCTGTAATAATTGGAGAAGTTGGTAAATGAATTTCAAAAATTTTGATAACCTCATTTCATGTAATGTAATAATCACTCTTACAAAAAAGTGAAATCTACTTTATTTATTTTCTAAACTTTATATTAACAATGACATGCTGAAGTAGTCTAACGTTACAATACTCCACATTTGCCTAGTGGAGATTTGTACGGACATATATCATTTTCAAACATCTATCAATTTCTAAGTAAATATAGTGATATCCTTTGAGATTCAGTAAAAATACATTTCATTCCATGTGATTTGAGAAATTACACTCAACCACGTGAAGTTTTTGGCCAACTTAAAACCACGCTCTTTGTTGTTAACATACCAACCATTTTTAAATCAAATATCCACCATGCCCTTACAAAATTTAAAGCAAAAAAAAAAATTATCTAACCCTATAACAGGGAAGTGTTGCTCTTTGATGCATGTGCAAAGCATTAGAATCAATCTAACGTTATAATCAAATTAGTTATAATTATCATGAAGCCAATTATAACTTTGGATCTAAGGTTGGAGAAGATTTTTGGGTCATTTTGACTCAAATTTAAATTTGAGTTTAGATTTGATTAAAGGTTAGAGATGTTCTTAGACCCAAACTTATATCAAATGAAGACAAAACATATTCTGGACCTAGATTGAGGGAGACTTCAATCCTATATCAAATTTTCAACGGTAACTATTGAAAAAATTGGATGTAAATAAAGTGAATGACATGGTGAGGCACAGACTAGATCGCTCTCTTAAAACGATTCACGCCCCTTTATCAAAGAATCACACTGTAGAAGGCAGTAACGTGTCGTCCCCAGGATACAATAGCACAACCTATTGATTATTACTTCACTCAGATATGCACAATCGAATAAAGCAGAAACTTCACACACCTTTGAATATGGTCCAGAAATTTATATAGCAAGAAGATAGTTGATATCAGATTGTGTATCTTTATATTGAAAATATGTGTATATATATACAAATAATATATGTGTCTAATAGGCTATAATTACTTCTATATTTAATTGGATAATAACTTAAAAACTATGGTTGTTGGAATACTAGCCATTGGAGGCTTTTGGTATTCAACAATTGAAATTTTAATATAGAAGGTCCATTGGAGGCTTTCGGTATTCAACAATTGAAATTTTAATATAGAAGGTTCGTAGATTTTAGAAATTCATATCTCCTCCGCTAGTTCCACCCTTGCGCACGTGAGAGTCTCAAGATCTTTCTTTAATTCAAAGGTTAGGTAACATTAGTATATATATATACTCAAGTACTTTTAAATATTTAGTCAATGTGGGATGGAGTTCCCACACATAAAAAAACACTCTTTTTTTTAAAATATTCTAACAATCCCCACTTATTTTTAATAAAAGATACACTATATAAGTAACCAGACAATAAATAGAATATCATGAATTGCAAAAGTGGCAATACCTTTAAACCTTTACTTAGTGCTTCAAAGTTCCCGTACTAGAGTCAAAGTGGACTTAGCCTTTAAATGATGACTACTTGAGTGTACGTAGAACTATATCACACACATGATATTCAAGGTGTCCAAAACCAAGCTTTAAAAATCCGAACATTTTTTGGCCTTGTGCTTTATCCTAGTTTCTTGAGTGCTTTAGAGAATTAGCCCAAATTCTCATACGAAGTGGCCTGTCTTCCACACTCATATAGGTGAGTCGGTCAATTATGTTCTTGTAACTAAGACATCCCACCCAAAAAGGGCTATAGAGCTAATTAAGAGATATTGATCTCATCCTCCAAATTTTCGTTGCGAGATCACATGTACTTTACACCATAGGGATGGACAATGAATATAAAATTTCAACAATTATATAAATTTCATTGGTACATGTTTCATAAATCAAGTCACTCTATGATTCGTTTGTCCCATTAACCTAGTTCTTGAGAAC